CCATCTACCCCTTAGTAGGCGTTTACTAGTTTAAGCTGGATTTGACCAATCGGCCTGGCTCTCTCACTTTTCTTTCTCTCCCACTATCTCTCTAGTAGACTCCGAGTGCCTGTCTGTCTGTCTGCAAGCTGGCGAGCGCTTGTGGAGATGGCCCGTAGCCAGTCCAGCCACTGGACGAGAGGACAAGAGGACGAGAGGGGGGCCAGAGGAGGGGCTGGCGCTCACTCTCGCGCCACTCACTACGCGGGCCCCGCTACCACTTGCTTGCGCATCGCCCTGTTCTGCACCTGTCGCTCTGGTGCCTCGAAGTTGTTCCGTGGTGGGCGGCGTCGAGCAAGCGTCGAGCCCACCCCCCGGCGGCGTGTAGAGGAGAAGAGAGTATTGAGCAACAGGCGTGTGTGTCACCCAGTCGATGCTGACCGGCCGCTGATTCGCCCCTGGGTCACAGCCGCCCGGTGAGGTGCGGAACCCAAGGCGGTATGATTCAAGTGAATCAAGGACAGTCCCCGGCCGCTCGGTAGCTGCATAACAGGCTTTGTTGGACACGACTAGCGTTCACTGGCTAAAGGACGGCTCAGACCACTGCCAGCCCCTGCCTCCCTCACTTTCGCCTCCCTGCTGCAGTTTGGACCACAACGCTGAGACCAGGGTGGGTTGCGCCAGTGGAACCTCAACGCTAGCGCAGCTCTCTGCGTGCCGGAGGCCATGGCACACATCGCTGATGGCCTGCACACGGTCTGTAGTCCTGGCCTCGTTCGTCATAGCGCTGCTCCTTCCCTATATTTACGAAAAACTGGGGCTTGTCCATCATCCAATGGCTGCCGGGGCCTGCGATCTGGAGCCAGTCTTTATACACTACAGCCCAGCCGTGCTCATACAACATACATCATATCCCGCCTCACACTTTGCCATATCAACCACGACCAGCTCGACCTCCCGTTATCCTACATACTACCCTCCTCTCCCACTCCACCACATTCCTTCGTCTCAAGACACTCCTCATCAGTCTCTCAATCAGCCGCCTTCAATCCAGTCCACTTACCTACCCATCCTTTCCTCCTGACTCATATCGACCTTTCGCTTGCACGTCACCTGACCTAGGACTTGGCACCTCCAACGACCTGTGTATAATACGTTCCCCTTCTTGCTCGTTGCCGTCCTTCCAGGACTGCTTTGCTTCTCATTCCGAACAGAGGGGATCACCTTTCTTCGGATACTCTCTAACCCTGTCCTTGAGGCCTTCATTGGACCTGCGAGGACTTTCCACCTTTTCTTTCTACAGCATGTACCCAACACCCCCATCCTCCCCTACCGAAAATGGAACATGCGCGCCGGAAGAACGACTAGGACAGATTCTTGCTGGAAGACTCCAGCTCACCGGTATCCTTGGAATCGGAGCCTATGGAGTGGTGTACACAGCCGTGGACATCCAGACTAGCATCCCATATGCAGTAAAGGCACTTAACAAAATCGGTCTTGAGCCGCGCCAACGGAAATTCCAGCAGCGAGAGATCCAACTCCACCATCAGGCCAGCGCTCATCCCAATGTTGTCTCTTTGGTCAAGATCATGGATGCCCCAGACTGTACCTACGTTGTCATCGAATACTGCCCGGAAGGTGATTTGTTCTCCAACATCACCGAGCAAGGCAAGTACGTAGGCAACGATGCCATGGTCAAGCGTGCATTTCTCCAAATTCTGGACGCCGTAGAGTTCTGCCATTCTAATGGAATTTATCACCGGGACTTGAAGCCGGAGAATGTCTTAGTCACCGATCAAGGTATGACCTGTAAACTCGCAGACTTTGGACTCGCCACGACCGACCACGTCACCTCCGACTTTGGATGCGGCTCAACTTTCTACATGTCACCAGGTACGCTCATTTTGTGAATCACGCTATGACTCACGTGCTGACTCGTTGTAGAATGCCAGACATCAGCGCCAAAGGCCTACTCATGTTATGCTTCGGCCCCAAATGATGTCTGGAGCCTAGGTGTTATGCTCGTTAACCTAACTTGCGGACGCAATCCATGGAAGCGTGCATCTTTTGAGGATAGCACCTTTCGCGCCTTCATGAAGGACCCCAAGTTCCTCAGATCTATTCTCCCCATTTCCTTGGAGTTGGATGCCATCCTGAGGCGCATTTTTGAGTTTAATCCCGCCAAGAGGGCTACTATTCCTGAAATCCGGGAGATGATCGTCCGATGCTCTGGGTTTTCGGCCACCAAGTCGGCAGTTTCAACACCACTTCACTCGCCACCCTTCAATCCTGTGGACTACAACCGTGATGCTGCGTACAATGCATACTACCAGCAACCGGTTCCCCAAGTTGCTCCCCTCCCCAACCCTGCCTATTCCCCGTCTCCCTTCCAGCACTCCACCTCCTCTGGAAGCTCCAATTCGGACAATGACTCCGTCTTCTCCTCTTGCTCATCAGCATCATCCACCTCTTCGACATCTTCATACCAACACGTTTCCCCAGTTCACAAATTTTCTTCTCGGGTTCCTCAACAACAAACATACGTTTCTTCTCCAGCACCTTCCAATACGTGGTTCCAACCATTCATTCAGGCAGCCAACTTGGTGAAACATGTATCGTTCCAGCCTTCGATGATGGCAACGCCGGTCCACGTTTATTGAAGAACTCTTCAATTTGGATCCGTTTTGTCAAGCTACGCTTCTTTCACGATGTGTTTCTATTGTTTTCGAAAAGTCATGACGACACGATAGCGCCTTTATTTCTTGTTTGGTGTTGGTCTGCATCTCATTTTTTTTATTACACGGCGTTGCAAAATAGATCCGCCAGATTGATCAGTCCGGACTAGACTTTTTCTGGTCACGATATTAGTTTATCGCATTTAACTACGGTGGCGGAAGCCTTGATGGCACTGGATTTCATTCACCTGTCAATACCTGGGAGTATATCAGCGATGGGATAATGGGCATTTACATGGAGTTGCTGTTGGACATCGGCCGCTAGGTTCTGTTGTCACCACATTCACTTTTCTATTTCTTATTCAGAGAGATACCAGAGCTATGCTCAACACTGTTGATAGTAGGTCACACAAGAAGGGGCAGCAAAGTTTGCAATATGCAACTTGTTGAAACGAAAGAATTAAATCACATGAAGGCACGCGACGCGAGTTGCAGAAAGCCACAAGACAAACTATTTCTCACCATCACCGAACATGCACGTGGATTGTCAATTTACCCAATCTACCATGCCTAGATGTTCTTGACCACAACGCATTCTCCACAGCGTATTCTCCCCAGACAAGCCCACGTATTCGGCCCACTCAACACATGGTGACACAGCACACTTGGCTGCAGTCTCCCTGCTACAGCTGCACACCCAGCCCGACACATGCATACACTTGCGCAAGTGGTTAATACACGGCCCAACCACATGCGCAGCCACCCCATTGAACTCGACGGCCTGGGCATGATCCACACGCACCCGCGAAGCAACCCATAGCAACAGAGATAATTAGTGTAGGGCTCTCCAGCGAATCAAACGCACGACCAAGGCCGACAGCTGCATCTCAATATGTCTGCCGAGCATACAAGTACGCAGTAGCTTACCCCCCCTTGACAGGGACTATCGACCGGAATTGCGCCCTGTGCAGCTGGCCTGATTCCTCCAAGATCAAGCGCATGTGCAATATTACGACTGGTTTGCTGTGGATCGTCTACTGAAATGTCACAGATGGCGGACATATGTAGGGTGTTGGCAGCATTTGGAAGACCAGATGCACGATCCAGACCCCCTGACGAGATTGCATGCTGTCCGTCACTGTCAGAGCAGATCTTTGTTGAGCCGATCATTGACATGGCGTGCTCCGGCTGCGCAAAAGCAGGGTCAGATCAGATGAACGAAGGTAGTTGAGGCTATGCTACTGTACGCCCAAGCAATTGTGCACTGTTACTTATGATGTATAGTGTTATCAACTTGCTCCCACTGATCCTGCAAAAATAGTTTCTCTAGGATCATCCGGGTAGTTTTGGGATGCCTACCCCCAAATTACACATAGGCAAGAACTACAAGCATGTCTCAGCCATTCAACGCCGTTGCCACAAAGGGCATCTGGTCTCGCTTCTTGCTGGGTCAGCTGGTAACCTAGACAGACGAGGAGGGCTGAACTTTCACCAGTCAACCGCCATACAAACCTCCTTCAGCTCTCTTCACTCTCGTGCTGTGTCGGCTAGCCTTGCCTTGCCCGCAGCAGATCTAGCTGAAATGCATGTACATCAGAGCTGGCATCTCGCAGAAAGGCGTTACCGGAATCTCGATGTTACACGCACATGGATGAGGGCAGCCGTTAGACAAAGATTTGTTTTTGCGGCAGCCCATCCTTGTTCATCTGATGAGGCATGATTATCAAAAAGTAATGACCGTGAGTGAGTGAGCCCAACGAATCAATGAGTGCGCTCTCAAAGCCCTGTCGTGCGAGTATAGAAACCGGGCGAGCTGGTTTGATTCAAGCGTCATGTACGGTATGTACGTACAGAGTTGTAGTCGCTGGATGATTCTGCCAAGACCGCATGTCAACATCGCGGCCCACTTCGCTGCTTGCCCGTTAGCCACCAAAGAAAATCCCTCACCACCTCGGATTTCTGCATCACTGCTGCCAACGCCCACAGTGAGCAGCGGTCATCAACGGGACGCATGTGCGGAGCCAAATTTGCATATTTCGACGTTTATTGAAATCAGCTGCGTCAGTGTGGCGGGTCAGACACAACTCTCGCCAATCTATCGAGACCAAGAGTTTTCCGTGTTTCGAGACTATTGCCGTGGATGGGCAAGAGAATCTTTGCCTATTCGCTGGATGATTGCAAACCTTCTGAAATCACGTTGCAGCACTCCTCCCTACATAGGAGATGTTGCTTCTGCGAAGATCGCCCCTATAGGGTGAATCGCCCTGGTCGCTTGACCGCATCGATCTGCTATCAGCTCTTACCTATTGACAACATCGGCAATAGCACGGGAAGTTCAAGATCTCGCTCCACATCAAACCCCTCTCCAACGACATCACCATGGTCATGATGGTTACCTTGGACGCTTGCTAGTGCCATAAGCCAGTGTATTGTACCGAGCACGCGTCTCTTTGTCACTGCGTTCTTCCGCAAGCAACATGCAGGCATTACATCCTCCTATTACCCACAGATTGCGCCCCTACAAGCCACAGTACCGTCATCTAGCGTTTCTTTCCACAACTGAGTCCAAAGAAACCTCTCAAGTCCCGCACCAGGCAACGATCAGCGGCGTTGTCATGAGGGAAGGCATGGATGCGGGCGCCCGCCAATGATGGAGCTGTCCTGCACATCAGGGTTATCCTCCTTTGGCCTACATGATAAATGACCCTGGTAAGGAGTGATACTTGCACAGTAAGCTTCGTGGCTGTGATCTCGTGTCACAACAGTAGGAGTATCACGACAAGCCGTTTTTTTCCTGATCATGTGCTACTTCCTCGGTACTGCAGGCCGACTATCTGGCCGTGTCTGTGCCGTAGCCTTCCTACTGGAGTCTGAAGTAGACTGCTGTTTTTTCTTCTTCTCGAGTCTTATGTCTACCCATATCGTGCGTTGGATTTGACCCCAAAGACAAGGATGGGCCGCCCGTCCGCCCGTACGCCCGTACAGAAGGCTGCAAAGTCAGTCTCCCACTGTCACGCTGCGGGAGAAGGCTATCAGACCTCATCCCGTCCACTTCACAAGACGCTTACCGCATCGTGAACACCGGAACATGAACGTTCTTCAAAGCCATGTTACGCGAAAAGGAACTTGGAATGAACCGCGTTTACCCGTTCTCAAATCAGGACCCTGCCTTAAAGAAAGCTTACTCTGTAGTACTTCACAAGTAGTCAGATATTGATTCCTACCAAGGATGATGGGCCTACTTCCCGTATCTCGCTCTAGCATCATCACCGAGACTAGAGTATCTGCAGGCTTACAGAAATTTTCTAAGCTCTCGAACATCCCTTATCATGCCTCATAGTAGCAGACCACTTCCAACCTCATCAGCCACTCTCGGATTACGTGCCACAACACCAGATCGACGACCCCATCCTAGCACGATATTCCCCACATGTGGTACAACATGCGCCAACTGTCAAACATGTGCTCGGCCGGGTCACTTTTCGCGGGATTGTCGCGGCTGTAAAAGAGCACGGTCGATAGCCCATGTGGTACAACATGGTTCCCCATCTAGCTCGCCGCAGGATGCCGTCCTATGTGGTGAACCTTCCAACGTGCCACACGTTTGAGTTTGCTACGCCTGCCACACTGCGCACAGGATATGTACTTCCGTTCGCGCTCGACTGAGCATACACTCGCGGTTTCCCGTATGTGTACGACCTGCCCGGCTGGGGGATGCGTGCTGTATCGGGGTATCGGGTGCAAGGGGAAGCAGTGTGTCCGTTACGGAAGGCTACAGTTGGCCACGTACATTCTGGTCCTGCGTACGAGAAGGACAGACGTAAGACTGACAGCGGGTTGGCGTTCCGGACTGTCTCAGGCGTGCTTGTAACCGACCTACGGCTCAACGCTACTGGGTCTCGTTGACTCAGCCTCTTGCATCTTACCGGTATTGCTATATTGGCATGTTCTCACACACAGATGAGGTCGCTCCGCACGCATATTCTGCGGATTCAGGATGAAAGTGGCGAAGTCGAGACGTCGGCATGGGAAATCCAGGCCCCCCCCACCCAAAAAAACCCCGAATCTCTGGCAACATGAGCCAAGGTGCATGATCTCAATGAGTACGGTGGAAACCCCCCACACACAAACAGCGCCCTTGCCTCATCTGCAAACACTCAAAGTTTGGTACACGCGCAAAAAGAAAGAGTTCAGGCCGTCTATGCGACCAAACACCCCTTCCCAACCCTTGCGTACAACGACTTGTCACATTCGCGAGAACCGGTGCGGCAACACGTGCGCTCCCGGAACCGTTGTTCTCGTTGCTTCCGCCACGCATGCTAGTACGTTGCCGACTGAGACTTGCCTATCTTGCGGCTAAGGGCTGTGATCTGAGTGTGTAGCGGGCGTATGCAAGGGAGTGGGATCGGCTGGAGTGAGTTGGTCCCGGTAACGGGAACATTTGTGTGTGTATTAGATAGCAGTGCAGGTTCAACAGGCCCGTGGCACAGCGGCTTGTACCATCGCTACCATTTTCCTTCCTTCTCCTTGGGAAAGCCCGGATAGTTCCCGAGGTGTATGCTGGGCTAGATTCCCGGGCTTAGCTGATATGGACAGGACACCCGAGTACAAGTTCGGCGACTGCGATGTCGTCGTCGTTGTGCTTTCCGCTGGAGACTCTACTCTCTGTCTGTGTTGACGCCCGACATGGCATTGTTACATGCTCCATGTCGAGTTCTAGAAGTCGGGCGTTGGAATTGACGTCTCTTACACACGTATTCGTACATTTGTGCTAACGTCCTCATTCCAACATCCAGACATCCACGCTTCTTCCCATACACTCACTCACTCTCCCCCATCCAACCCCTCGTACAAACCCCAATCCCTCATACTCCAACTCCACCCATCGCACGCACACACCCGCACAACCCATACGCACATTCCTTCGACATACATACATGATCTAAGAATCACGTCCGAATACAAAAATCCCTTGTGCGACAATCTCCCCCCAGCCCTTTTCGAACCCTCGTACACAAAGCGAAACACAGCAGTAGTCCTGCATTGCATCGGAGATTTAATCAGACTTGGTGGGTGCGCGTGGTGTAAGGTTTTGTCGGGCTAGGCTTTGGGCGCCGGTTTGGATGGCGGGTTGGATGGTTGGTTGGTGCTGTGTGGCGTGATGTTGAATATGTGAGAAGGTTTAGTGTGTAGCTGTGGGGACTTGGATGTATTTGTGTTGTAATTAAGCTAAGGTAAAGGGGTAGGTTAGGTAGGTTTGTGCTTGTTCATGGGTTAACACTATTTGTCGTTAGTTTAAGAGCTGCGGTTGTGATTAATGTTGTATATGTCCTTTTTGCCTTAGAGTTTTGTTATATTATATTGTATTTATTAAATATATCTTGCGTAATTAGTTCTCTCCCTGTTGTTACTACTCTAAATCTTTATTGTAGCTTAATAAAAAGAAGTTGCAAAAAAGCACTACCCTAATCTAGGATATATATATACAAATATATATATATATTTATACCCAAGCAAAAACAAAAAAAGCACATTCCATTTATTGGGAATGCGACCAAAACTCGCAATACCAACTGCAGTTTTTGCAAGGCAAAGCAGGGTTTTCGGTTGGTTTCGAACGGGCGACCAGGCGAAGGACGGTCTGGAAGTTCTCTCACTCCTACAGATATCGTAACAGATGAGTAGCTCTTGACCTCTCGACCAACTGCTGGTTGCGCGCTTGATGGAGGTATTGGTAATTCCAGAGTATATATGCGTGAGGTAAATGGTTTTGGGAGGTGTGCGGTGGGGATGTGAGGCTGCGTGATGGCGGGCGGCGCGCTGGGGAGAGCGTTTGCAGGCGGGGTGCTTTTGAAAGTGGAAGGCACGCCAGGCAACAGCTATTTGATATCGTGAACTCTGTACTGGATGTGATGGGGTTCTATCAAAGTGCCGCGTGCAAATGGTTTAAGATGTAGAAGTGTGATGCGACAACGGAATACTGCTATAGAATGGACGAAAGTTCACATATCTGGCACATGTTGATGTATAAAGGATATAGAAGAAGCAAAATAAGAAGTCAATTAGAATAATTGGGTTAAGAAAAGAAAATGATCAGATATTCGTTGTCAATAATGTGATGAGCCTTGAGTTTGAGCGCCGGTGACTGCGACTTATGAAATTCATATGTATGAAGACAACGTAGAAAATAGCAGGCTAAAAGGGTACGAGAAATGTGAGTTTATGAGAGATATTGCGAATTATAAGAGATTCCTTGATATGAATACTGTGCCCTCAGCCCAGAGGGGTACGTTGCAAAGGTTGTCTGCGCACGTCAGAGCGTGTCCTGCGAGCCTCAATTGGTGCTTCAGAATATTAAAGAACGTTTGATGTTGAGCACAATCTTAAGCGGGAAGATATAAAGAGTAGAAGAAAGTAGTTTGAAGAAGTAGAAAAGAGTGCCCCGGCTCAGTTGAGACAATTCCGATGTCGTTGAGGAATCAATCACGTGATGTAAGCGGTGAGCGGCAGCACAACGGAGAACATCCCTGCACATTTCGCTTAACGAATTTCCGCCGCCCACACCACACGCTCAACCGACAGTGACCTCTTCGACTTTCGACGCCCACCACCAGCCAAATCCGCACTCTGAACGACCGACTCACCTCTATCCTATAATCGCTCACCATGGATACCGCTAAGGCCCCCGTTAAGCTCGTCAAGGTCACTCGTGTCCTTGGCCGAACCGGTACGCGACTTTGCTCATTGCAATACAATATCTGTGGCGTGGGTGCGGTGGCAGGGAGGAAGCTGCAGCGCTCAGACGCAGAGAAGAATATAGAAGAAATCGGAGACTGACGGTATCATAGGCTCCCGTGGTGGTGTCACCCAGTGCCGTGTCGAATTCATGGACGACCAGACCCGATCCATCATCCGCAACGTCAAGGGCCCAGGTATGCTTTTACCTCGTCAAATTCGCATCAAATTATCCCATACTAATCACATGCAGTCCGCGAGAACGACATTCTCTGCCTACTCGAGTCCGAGCGCGAGGCCAGGCGTCTGCGATAAGCGCACATCGACACGGGCAGCGGCATTTCATTTCGTTTCGGAGTTCTTTGCGAAAGCTATGGGCATCTATACGGACTTCATGAGGATGAGTGGATGATGGCGCAGTGCTACTGGAGCGCTGTCGACGATGCAGCAATGGCGATGGCGGACGAGTGGGCGAGACACTATCACGGCAAGGAAAAAGTCTGGGTTCTCCCACATGAATCAAAATCATCCAACACTTCACCATGACAACGTTCGGATCGAGACTATTGCGATTGGATCATGTGATGGTTCGACCGAAGCGTATTGTGGAGAGCTGACATCCAGACGACTGACATGTCGATTAGAGTTATGCCTCTACAATCGTACTAATGGTATTCGCATCTAGGTGTTCACGGTCTATTCTTCGTCTTCTTCACCGAACCCCAAAAGCGCCCGTTGTAACCTCACATTTGTCACAACCCCGTCTGCCTCCCATGTCGCCTTACACTCATTCATCTCCTCAAACCTGACCCAGATATCCCACAGCAAAGCTCGCGCCAGTATACGACTTTGAAACAAAATGAATTTGGCTTCCACCAATTGCTCCCCGCTCCCCTCCATCTCTTGCGTTTTCTCAAGCCCAGCAAGTGCAAGTCTCGGTTTCCTCTTATCCTCCGCACCTGTACCACTTCGCTCACCCTCATCCCCATCCGCACAAAATTCATCCCAAGCCACCACTCCATCTCTAATCCGTGTATGCCCTGGCCCCGCAGCAGCAAAGACCTCGTACCACTCTCCCCTCACCCCCACCACCGCTCTCACATACGCCACCCAATGCAACTTGAACCCCAAATTGCGATACCCGCCTGCAATCACCTTGTTCCCGTGTCGTCTGACGACCAGGATTAACCCGGCTTTACTCCGCTCAATTTCTCGTCGGTATGCGAATTCCTCGGTACGCGGGTCGAGGAAGGCGGTTATGCAGGCGGGGCTAGTGTGCGAGAGGATTGTTGCTATGGCGGTGGGGAGGCGTGGTTTTGCGTCTATGAGGTGGGTAGTGGTGGTGTTGGCTGGAGAAGAGGAAGTAAAATATGCAGCGAGGTCGAGCACATGCATACATTGTGCTGACGCGGTAGCGAGACCAGAGCCTGTGAAGTATTTCGACCCATGCAGGAAATATGTCTGCATCACGTCGTCGTGTACGTCGCCGGTGGGGTTGGCGTAGTATGTATTTGTTAGTTTTTCCTGGGAGTCTTTGCTTGCTTTGTTGGCGTCTTCTTTTTCTTCTTCTTTTCTTCCTTTGTCTTTGTCTTTTACTTTTCTGCTGTTCTCGCTGTTGAAACTGTATACACTATTCTTCCCACTATCCTGCCGTTCGTTCCGTCTTCCCGCCTTCAGTGTCGCCCATGCATCGCGTACCGTGCTACCTAGTTTCACCAATGCAGACGTCGAAGATTTAGTTGCGGTGGTGGAGGAACTGGTGCTGGGACCCGGGTAGAAGGGTGTACGGTAGGATTCTGTGAATGTGCATGTTGTGCTTGCTGCTGAGATTGCAGAAGCCCATTCTGCTTCTGTGGGGTCCCAGATACTACGATGTTGGTGGCATGTTGGCCGTGGCGAGTCTTGTCTTTGTTGGTTTTTGGCGGGTGAATTGCGTGCATGAGGAGAGGAGGAAAAGTGCTGCTGGTCCTGGATACTGTCCACAGCGAACGTAGGAACCGTCATGACAGATCCAAGTGAATAGTACCGAAAAACTCTTCGTAATCGCAATATTTTCCCCTCTTTTCTTAACTCTGAACTATACTCCTACTGTAGTAAAACCCATACACCAGTCGAGGAAGGATCAAGATCCCCCCCTCTCCCTTTTTTTCACAGACATCCCATGGCCCGTTTGCTCTGTGCTTTGCGCACCTATTTGCTGCATGGGCGTTTGCGTCCGCGTCACTTACTGTAGCGTAGTTTGTGCGTGGGGGGGATGGGCTTGCGCTTTCGCGAGTGTGATTGTGGGGATGGCCATGGAAATGGAGATGGAGAGAAGGATATATGGGTTGGGATGGTAATTGTGAGGTTTGTTCTGCATTGTCTTTACTTGCTTCATCTTTTTTCTCTCCATGTCTGGATTCTGGAATTAGATTCATCATGCTATATATACTCATCTCACGTCGCATGTCTTTTGTTCTCGCACGACTAATACTTTCCTTATCCTCCTTCCTTCTTCCTATACCCTCTCCTCCCCCTCCAGTACTTCTTCCGCGCCACTAACATGCGTCAGCCATTGACAAGAAGAATGGCACAGACGCTGGATGCTGCGTTAATGGGTGGCATGGGGGCGAGGGGAGGGAATGATAATGGGAGAAGTAGAGAAGGATTACATGTGAATATGTCATGGGTGTAATGGATAGGCTGGATATATAGCATATGGCATATACCGCACAAGCCTATATACCGCACAAGTGTACACTACACCTGAGTACCTCACACCCCCACATATCCTCTATACGCTTCGCATCCATCCATGCACCCCACAAACCAAAAGCATCATCCCCAGTCTCGCGCACTTCAAATACGGGCATGGAGAGGAGGCGATGCCCTTGGGTGTCGCGAAGGAAGGAAGTAAAAATATAGGTATCTCAATGGAAGCGGTGATGGGACAGATGTAAGATTTGCAGGGAGAGGGTTTTGAGGCTGGGTGGTGTTTTGGGTGAAGAGATGGAGTGAAAGTCTTGCATCGACATGCGTGGTGACCAAGCGTGTTGACAGGTTCTTCATCACCAGTCGCTATCAAGTTGGACAACCAAGATTTACTGATAATCATCCGTACGAAGCCCTGAAAAAAAGACCGTCCAACAGTCACGTCAAAAACAAAGTCGAGCGAAAAGAAACAAAGAGATCAAGTGAGAGCGAGCATATTCAATGAAGATAGCATTTGCGCATCCATAAAGAAGCCAGCCAAGCCAGCCAGCCAGTGATCCATGAACCAACCGCCCAACCCTCATCAGCCATTCATGAATACCGTCATCGATTGCATCCCACGCCGCCCGTAATGTCCGTAACCGAATGACCCTGGAAATCCTTAATTCCCCCCTTTGGAAGCCGCGAATGACATGAAACACAAAACCCCAGAGTAACAAAGAGTCTTTTTGAGTTTAGCCCTCCCCCTGCCGCCTCCCTTGCAGATGGAAAACGCCGATTCGCAACTCATGCGTCTGAGCACCTAACCAAAATTGACACACGAGTGAGAGGATGCAAGAGGAGAGAGAAAGATGTATAAAGAGAAACAGATACGGAGAAAGGATGGGGATAAGGGGATGAAAAGGAGATTGTCATAATACAAAGTTGACTGAGGCCTGTCCAAGAATCATGCTTTTTCATGGCCGTCAGTCGGGCCCAGGAATGCAAAAGGAAGAGAAAGATAAACGCAATCACGTCTGTCTTGTGCATCGGACTTGGCCCTCAATTCCTCCACCTTTTGCCATATTGGGCTCTTCATGGATGTTCGTAGCACCAAGGAAGATGATTCCTAGTGCTGTCCATAATTGCCACCCCAGCCACCGCGGTTGTAGCTTCCGCCACCGTACTGTCCTCCAAAGCCGCCATAGTTGCCGTAGGCGCTCTGTTGCTGGTGGCTTCCAGAGTTTTGGTGGCCGAGTCCGCCTAGACCACCATACTGATTATTACCGCCGAGGTGACCAGGGTAGCCGCCGAAGCCTTGCTGCTGCGTGTGCTGAGGACCCTGTCCGCTTTGTCCAGGAGTGTTTTGCGTAGCAGACCCAGGACGGCCGGGCTGAGCTCCGAGGGCAGACGGGCTAGGCCCACCGTTCTTAGATTCGCCAAAGGGTTTCAGTGATTCATCTCCAAGACCTTGCTGACCACCTTGTTGCTGACCATAGGAGCTTTGATGTCCAAAGGCCTGGGGACGACTGAATGAGTCGGGAAGACTACCAAATCCACCTGCAGCAGCTGTCGCACCAGGGGTCTGTACTGTGCCAGAGGCCGAGCGGTTGTAATCACTGAAACCACCACCTACACCGGTGGAGCGTTCATGAAGAGACGAGGCACCGAAGCCGCCAGCGTTGGCAGGAGAGGCCGAGTGCTGGTCAAAGGAAGCCTGAGGGGACATTCCATAGTGGTGGGGCTGTCCATACATGCCCTTTCCGAAGGATCCATAGCCTCCTCCTTGACCATAACCACCGAATTGGTTCATGTAGTTAGTATAGTATGGGCTGCCGTAGTATGGGTGATTGTATGGGTAACCACCAGCGTGCTGTCCCTGTTGGCCATGCTGCATGTGCTGAGCTTGCGATCCAGGGCCTTGCTGGGCTGTAGGATTGGGCGTGTTGTGCCCGCTGTTCTGAGCGTCATTATAACGGCTCTGAGACTGTTGCTGACCCTGAGAGTAAGCCGAGTCGTTGGGACCGGAGGCAAAAGCGCTTCCAGTGCGCTGTTGGGCTGCACCAGCTTCTTGCTGGCTCTGTGCAATGGGTTGACCATAGCTTCCGTAGTATTGTTGATATTGCGAGCGTTGCTCGGCTGTGAGGTAGTGGGAGCCGTAGCTATCAGGACCAGATGATAGAGCACCGGGCTGGGAGGAGGCCTGGCTCTGCTGACCGGGGTAATCGTACTGATTTGAGTGCGAATGGGTCGAGTGGGGTATCTGCTGACCAAATGGATCATAAGGCTTCTGAGGAGGTGCAGATGCTTCGGATTGGATGCCAGTCTGACCATAGCGTCCGAACTGACTGTATTGCTGGGTGGACTGTGAGCCTTGGTTTTGCATGGCATGAGAAGTAAGTGGATTGGAGGGCGATTGGTGGGAGCTCTGCTGTTGCTGCGAGGGATTGGGCAAGCCAGGGGCCGGCTTGGGGGTCGGAATGGCATCTTGCTGCTGAGCTTCTGCCTGAGGAGGCGCTTGACGGGATACAGGCGGAAGAGATGCGCGAGGCTGCGCGACAGGCGAGTGCTGTGGTGGCTGGGTCCTGGTCTCAGCCTCCTCGCGTTCCTCGTCGACATCCAGATCGGCTGGTTCACCCAGACCGAGGCTACCGAACTGGACTGCAGCTCTGTCTACAGCGTGGTTCCCCGGCATGACAACGGCCTCCTGCTGTTCCAGGATCCTCCTCTGGAAGCTTGCACTGCGATGTGGCGTTCCAGCGGTCGCCTTCAAAGCTGTGGTCTGGAATCCGCCAATGCCTGGACGGCCAATAGGTACCTGGTTGGATCCATTCAAAGGTGTGGCAACGGCGCTGCCAATGTCTCTGGAGCTGGCCACTGTGCTGAATGCGGTCTCGGTGGGTGGTGGGTGGGACTCATCGGGCAGATGTTCGACATTCTCTTCGGTCAAGCGGTCCCTTGAAGGAGTCAGGGAGACATCGGGCGTGGCAGCCTCCTCGCTCTTGTCCGGCGTCAGCTTCGAAGTGTCCTCGACTGCCATGGGCGGGTCTTCGACGACATGGTCTGCAATAGGGGGAATAGGTAATTCCTCAGCGTACAGATTGCACGAACCGGGGACCTACCCTGACACGGCGAGTAAGGT